GGTTTCCTTCACAAAGTCCTCTCGAAGATGGGACCAAAACCCAGTCTTGCTACCTGGTCGATACGCTTCGGCATTTCGATTTGCAAGCCGGAATAGGACCAGCACTTCAGCCTTCGTCAAAGGGGCCATCTTAGTCGGAGAGCCTTGAGGATCACAGCTTTCTATACGCTGCTGGGTTGAGAGCTGCGATACTTCTGGTGTTTCAGCTTCGATTTGCCCCTCAATCGTAGGCAGGATAGGCAGAGCAGGGCTTGCTCTGCCATCTTCTTCGAAGGTAGAGTATTGGCGATGTCTTTGGGGTAAGGATTGGGGCTCATAAGCCAGGAATTCGAGCAGCTTCGAGGCCATTATCACTTATATAGAGCGACGTATGTAGATACTGCTATACTACTGTATTCGCCTTACAATTACATGACGTCTAATCCAAGGTGATTACTAAGTTATATTCTAACTACAATAGGAATCTGGCTGGCTGTTAGCCTTGAACAGATAACTGTCTGACGCTGACAGTCTTACTTCCTATTTAGGAAATAGTGCGGTTCACGGCGAGCAGGGTTTGTACAGGGTTTATACAGGGTTCCTGGTCAAATTTTCTACACTAACTACATACAGGACTGTCGGATGAGGTGTCTAACACCTGGTAGATCAATAGTACGAGTAGAGTATGTACATGCATTTTCTCCAAGTACTTACACGCCCTACTTATTACGCACAGACCCTGTGGAAACTTTTGGGCCGCACGAGTATCACCTCGACCAGCACCTCAGCAACTCCGAAAACTTTTGGGCACGGTACGACACCTGGCCATTAGGGAATTAAATCCCCTTTCCGGCAAGGGGGGAAGCAATGGGCACCTCTTCAACAAGTTTATTTTCTCTCATGAACGCACCCCATTCTTTCAACAGCCATTTATTCAGATACCTCCGCAATCTGAGTATTTATCACAAATGTTATTAGCTGGTAACATGAAATATACGTTTCGCACATACCACACCTAGGTATGCTAGAGATGAGGGTCGTACCTTTCTCTCTACGATGCATCAACAGGACTGGCCGCTGTATTGTTATAATACAGGCCCGACCCACCCGCACCATCCCTCAGCACTGTGATTGATTCTGTATTCTAGGTGTTCTGCTGTATCTGGAGTCACTCTACGAGTACTATATCCACATTCCCCCCTTACTTTGTTCCGACCACCTACCTTCTGTCCTCGCCACAGACTCTATTTCGCCCTCTCCATCGCCAAGGAGTTTTTTGATATTCTGAGTTGGTCTCCTGCATCTGTAGCTACTCTTCCGAATACCACTACATCCTGGGGCCATTCACTTGTGCCACTACGGACCTTTCTGACGACCTCTGATTTTCCTTTACGAGTGTACTTCTGTATCTGGAGTCACTATTCCCGGGAATTAACCCACATTCGTTCTGTGTTGGTTTCAAGCTAGAGATTTGGTTTCGAAGTGTTCTTAGTTGACGACGAACTTGCGTTTGATGTATCTCATGGGTTCTTGTCAGGCGTCATTTACTGCTTATTTCAGCTTTCTCAGTTGTTAAAGATACGTTTGGTATATCTCTTAAGCTCTTGTCATCAATTTTCTACTGCTTGTAGCTCTAGTTATTGAAATTTATACCTAGCATACCCTACTATTTTTTATCATACTTGCAATCGTGATGGCTTTGTAATTCCGCGATGTCTATGGGGTTGCGTGTCTCAATATATGTGTTCCGGCCCAACCGTGAGTTGAGCCAGAACATATGTAGAAGGAAACACGCCAATTCCGCGATGTCTATGGGATTCAATATATGTAGAAGGAAACACGTCAACGCCTCAAACTGCACGCCATTTCATTCATTTTCTACACATCGGACCTCAACACAGACGATAGCTTCAATCTCATACATAATCTTACAATCTAGACCTAACTACCAGCAACACGCGACTCATTTAATGCGGTGCTATATACAAAATCTATACCGCCATGCCCTTTTATCATGCGCCGCCAGGGATACAGTGGTGATGTGATGATATGTTGTACATCAAAATACAAGTGTCGTCCAGGAACGACATGCTCGAGCTAAACGGCAGCGCCCGCCGCTCTCAATACAAAGAAATTCCACCAGGGCGGAACGTCGAATCTACTTACGCTTCTCCGCAAGCGCCTTCTCGTGATTGGTGATGAGCTCCTTCCTACAAAAATAATCAGCACACATCCATATCAAAATACCTCAACGGAGGGCAACTTACTGGATCTGCATCGGTGCAGGCGCATAATGCGAGAACTCCATTCCAAACTCTCCCTTACCCTGCGTCGCCGCACGTAGCTGGCTGGAAAAGCCAAACATAGCATGCAAACTGCAGTCAGCCGTGAGCGTGAAGTCCTCCGGTCCAATCTCGGTATCGAGGATAACACCATTGCGCTTATTCAGCAGCCCGACAATGTTACCCTGGAACTCGTTCGGCGCCGTGATGGTGGTCTTCATGAGAGGCTCGAGCACGACGGGGCCGGCCTGGAGGAAGGCCTTGCGGAAGGCCTGCTGTGTTGCGACCTTGAACGCCATTTCACTGGAGTCAGTCATGTGCGTGGCACCGTCGTTGATGACCATGCTGGCACCCAAGACCCTATGCTGGAGCATAGGTCCCTTGTCGCACGCGGCCTGGAAGCCCTTGTCGCAAGCGAACAGGAACTTCTCGTCAATGGAACCACCGGTGACCTGCTGCTCGAACTTGTTCGAGGTCAGGCTGCCGGTTGGCTCGACGTAGCCAACGACACGGGCGTAATCTCCGGCACCACCAGTCTGCTTCTTCAGGGTGTGGTCGAACTCAACGTGCTTGGTGATGGTCTCGCGGTAAGCGACGCGGGGCTGACCTGTCACGCAGTCGACGCGATACTCGCGGCGCATGCGCTCGACGTAGACCTCGAGATGCAGCTCGCCCATACCGGAGATGATGTTCTCATGGGACTCGCTGTCGACGTGGACACGGAAGGTGGGGTCCTCACGCTGGAAGCGGTTCATGGCCTTGGAGAAGTTGTTGGTATCCGTCTTGTTCTTGGGGGTGATGGAGAGCGAGATGACGGGCTCGGGCACGAACATAGACGACATGGTGTATGGGAGGGTTCCGTCGGTGAAGGTGTCGCCGGAAGCGCAGTCGACGCCAAACACGGCGCAGATCTCGCCCGCGCCGACTTCGGGAACTTCCTCCATCTCATTGGAGTGCATACGCACGATACGTGGGATCTTGACCTTCTTGTCGTTGCGCGCGTTGAAGACGTTCATCGACTTCTTGAGAGTGCCCTGGTAGACACGGATATACGTGAGCTGACCAAAGTTGGACTCTTCAAGCTTGAACGCCAACCCGACGAAGGGTAGGGTATTGTATGGAACAAGCGCGACTGGAGCCTCGGCCTTGCGCTGGTCGAGAGCCAGGTTGGGGACCTCAGATGGGTCTGGAAGGTAGTCACAGACAGCATCGAGAACTGGCTGCAAGCCCTTGTTTGCGAGCGCACTACCCATCATGACAGGAGTGAACTTGAGCCCAATAGTAGTCCTACGGATAGCCGCCTTGAGCTGAGCAGTCGTAGGTACCTTCTCATCCAAGAAGAGCTCCGCAATCTCATCATCCACATCCGCCACAGCCTCAATGAGCATCCTCTTGCGCTCCTCTGCAATCGGTAGCACATCCGGTGGAATCTCATCCGTCTCCCTAATAGTAGTCCCCTGCTCGCCCTCAAAGTAGATAGCCTTCATGCGTAGCAGATCGACAACGCCCTTGAAGTTGTCCTCTCCGCCAATCGGCACTTGAATCGCCGCCGCGTTCAGCTTCAGCTTGTGGTTGATCTGGTCCACAGCCTTGAACGGATTCGCTCCCATTCTGTCCATCTTGTTCACAAACGAGATACGCGGCACATTGTACCGCTTCATCTGCCTATCCACCGTGATTGTCTGACTCTGCACGCCACTGACCGCGCACAGCACCATCACGGCGCCATCGAGCACGCGCAGCGCTCTCTCCACCTCAATCGTGAAATCGATATGGCCGGGTGTATCAATCAAGTTGAAATGGAACATCTCCTCCACCCCATCGATATTCTTCTTCTTCCAGTCACAGAACGTCGCCGCGGACTGGATGGTAATTCCCTTCTCGCGCTCGAGGTCCATGCTGTCCATCTTCGCGCCGACGGCATCCTTGCCGCGAACCTCGTGGATGGCATTGATGCGACCGGTGTAGAAGAGCACGCGCTCCGTGCATGTCGTCTTCCCGGAGTCGATGTGCGCTGCGATACCGATGTTACGGAGTTTCGAGAGTCGTCCCTTCTCCGAGGGCGACATGTCGACTTGGATCTGTTCGAGGCTGGGGCCCAACACAACTGGCTTGGGCTTGGCTCTGTAGTAAAACTCGCCGTCAGTGCAACTCATTCAATCGTGAGGTCTCTCAAAGGAAATGCGACGCCCCCCTTCCCTGAACATCCCCTGAAGTTCCCCCAACACCGCATGTGAGAAATAACCCCCAAAAACACTTACGCTGCCTCATCATTCCTCACCCCCCTCGACACAGAAAACGCCCTCCTCTGCATCCCCACCGCGCCAACCCTCAATCCACCCACTCGCGCCGTCGCGCTCTCCCTCGCAAACAGACACCGGAACCTGCCCGCCGTCGGCGCGCTCTGTGCCATCCTCTGGCGCGCCGCTGCACCAGCCGCCGCCGCTGTCCCTCCTGCTCGTGCTGCCCTCATCGCGTCGAATATATGTGGCGGGAAAGGGGGGATTGGAAAGGGGGAAGGAGCGATACGAGTCTCGTCAACGATGGCCGCCGCGCCGTGAACTTTTTTTGATGAAGAGGCGGGAGATGCCGTTAGCGCCAGGGGCATGCGGCCGCGTCACGTGAGCATATTGGCTATTTTTCGCCGAATTGTTTTCAGCAGCTATTGGGATTTAAATATGGACAGCTATACTCTTGTTATTGGGATTAGCCATGGGCTTGTCATGAGATTTGGAAATTCTGGAAGTAAGGTATGATGAATTTTATGTATATCCTAAACGCACACTGTTTACACCCTGAAACTCCCCCACTGAACCCCATCTCTGTTCAGCGCCAATTCATCATATATGGCAAGTCCATCATATATGGACGGAAGTACCATAATGCTTTCCATACCCAACAATCCCATATCCCAAAAATGCCTCCCCGTCATTGTACTCCGTATAGTTAAGTAGTTATCCACATCCCAATCCACAGCGGGTCATTTCCTCACGCCAAGGTGATCATGCCCCCACCAACCATCATGATGCCCATCCACACGCCCAGGAATGGAAGCACGCCCCACCACCACGGCTCCAGCCGTCCACCAGCATTTTTATCAGCAGCACTTTCATTTTTAGCAAACCCACTCGCAGCAGTGAGTCCTCCCGTAGGCGACGCATTACCCTGGACGATGCCACCGCTCACCGCGGTCTGCGTCGCCTCTCCTCCTCTCGGAATCCCCGTCTTCGTCTGCGACACACCGATCTGGTCCTGCCCAGATGCCGTGGGAGCCTGCGGGATCGCTGCGCCCATGCTGGCAAACTCGACGATATTGCTGCCGGTGGCATTGAAGTCCGTCTGCGCAAGGCCGACTTGGTTGTTCGCTAAGTCGTACACGACGTAAGCGGAGCGCAGGAAGGTATCTCCAAAAAGGATTGGCTGGTCGCCGGCGGCCTGGATGCCGAGCTGACAGGCATCGGCGCCGTTCTGGAATTTCGGGTTGCCGCCGCTGGTGAGGGTGAGGGGGAGGACCAGCTCGGAGACAGGGACGTTGATGACGGGACCGCTGGCGCCGCCGAATCCAAATTTGAGGGATCCGGAGTTGGAGGCGAGGGCGCAGGGGACGACGACAGCTTCGATGTCTTTGTCGTCGATGGCACCGAGCTCTTGGAAGACGAGGGCGGCGATGTCGTCGGGGAGGAGGGTGAGAGTTGTCCCGCTGTCGAGGATGGCGGGCTGGGCGTAGTTGCTGGCGGTAAGCAGATCAGTGCCGCTCGAGGAGGTTGCGTGTAGCGAGGTGAAGGCGACAGTGAAAGAGGTGACGTTTCCGGATTTAGAACTAGGATAGACCTTAATGGACTGCAACTGGCCCGTGTATTTTGCGGTGTCGATTCCACCGAAGAGTATCGAGCCGGCAGAGGACTTGATGTCGTCGAGCCAGAGACTGTATGCTGGGGAGTTAATGAGGCCTGCGTCCACCATGGCCAGCGGAAGGTTGGCATATGACGTGCCAGTGCCGGTGAAGACATTGGCGACAGAATTCGCATAAGCTATTCCCCTGCTACTGTTAGCTACTTCTGGTTTGAGCGCCGTAGATGTACAGAACTTACAAGATCCCGATTGAAATTGTGGTGTCCTCTCCAAGGCCCAGCTCAAAGTTTTTAATTGTCTTCCCCCCAATGCCGAATGAGTCGGTGAAGTAGCTTCCCATAGACCCAGTCCCGTCGACATACGAAATATTAAACTCGTCTTGTCCAACAACCTTAAATGTTGACGACGCGGTCGAATCAACTGTTTGCCACAACCATTAGCGACTGCCGCAAATAACGCTTATTTCTGCATTAGGGTCAACTTACATGATCCTCCCTCGCATCCTTGCCTCGACCTACACAGCCGTGCGGTCGAACTGGGCAGCCAGACATCGCTGCTCCCTGTGTCTATTTGTAATGACAGATCTTGCGCAGGCGTCCCAGCGGTGACATTCGCATAGTACAGGCCAAACTGCTGTGAATTCCCTAATGACTCGGTAACAGTGCCGCGCCTCCGGAGTTGTGCGGTCTGGAGCTGATCTGCTTGGACTTGGGGACTCTTCACGATGGGTACATGGACTGCTGCCGTTGCGCTCGAGAAGAGGTATCCGGTGGCCGCGAGGCCAGAAAGAAAGGCTGTCTTCATTGTCAATTCCCACACAGAGTTCAGTCTGTGGTATTGTAATAATATAATGGACAGGATGTGTAGATCGGGGGTTGCCAAGTCAAGACCGCCGGCTTGCTGGGGATGTTTGCCGCAATAAAAGCAATGACGACACAGCAAGGTTCAGATGATTGCCAAGCAGTTAATGAGTGCGCACCCGTAGAGTGATTGGGAGGAAACAAATTTGCCAGGATCTCAAGACGGGAGGAGTAATAAACAGTAATATAAAAAAATAATGAGGCGTAAAAGATCAAGGAGTGCGCAGCAACGCCTTATGTCGGCGTTTCTGCGCACTCGGTTTCACGGAGCTGCGCTTACGTAGACCCTTGTCGCGAATCACAGGGGCCTGTTTGAAGGGTCCCCAGGCCCAAAACCAAAGTGAACGGTTCGATCCCGACCTGGTTTGGACTCATCCGCCTCTCCGAAGACTACAAATCCAGTTTGATGCGATCCAGCTGTCAGCAGTGATGACGCAAGCTTCGTCGTCAGTCCCTCAAACTGCTTCTGGCATGGCGCCGGCGACTATTTATTGTGTCAAAAAGTCCACTACAGTTAGGCTGCGCACTACTCGCTCAATACTCGGCTCACTCGCTCAGTGGGTTACTCAGCTGGGTGAGTAGCTGAACCTTTTACTCGACTCGGTGAGTGAGGTCAATACTCAGTTACTCTGTAAAAACCCGGTGAGTACTCGGCTATCACGTGTAAGATTTATGCATCATGTGAACAGTCCCTCATACGATTAATACTGTTTTATGGTTAAGTTAAAGTATTACATCTATTAGCATCACTCTCGCCATCTCTAGTAAGCTGTGAGAACGAATCATGTATATTCCTCTATCTAAGTACCATGATTATCAGAAGATTATTAGAACGCTATTATCTATTATATATGCTTAAGAACATCCCTCCACCTTGCTTGATGAGGCCGGCCAGACCTACTAATACCTAAAGTATTTATAGGGTCTTGATGAGGATCCTCGACTGAGCGGAACGAGCTATGAGTCAAGATAACTGTGTATAGAACTTGTTCATAAAATGTCTCTTGTGTGAGAATATGATCTTATTATAGGTATTAACCTACATAATTCTGGTAATAATCTGGTAATCCTTACTTGTTGAGGTTGCATTTGATTGATTCGCATTTGATAGAGACTATCCTTCCCATCTGTGACTTCTTTTTGCAAATGTCTGATGCAAGATGTGTTGCCATAGACTTTGGGCCAGCAGACTTGATTGCAGGATGCGTAAGGGCCTTCGAACAATAAGTACAAATAACACATGGTTCTCCAGAAAGCCAGTCTGCTCCTTGGTGATAACTTCTCCAGTATTGAGAACTCCAGTTGGTTGAATCCCATGCAATCTTCATAAGGAGTTTTGTAGTATGATCTGAGTGTTGTTCATACCATCGTGATAGCTTCCACCACTCAATGAATATATCGTGTGTATCCTTAGTCCATTTGACGAATTGGTTTAACTTGCCAATATATTCAAGGCCTGCAGGGACTTTGTAAGGATGCCTGTCCCTCAGTGATGGAAAGGATCTGAGTCGGGCAGGTTACGGTCACATGATAAGAGTTAAGGCAGGTTAGCTGAGTCGGACCCGTTTCGGGTACTTAAGGAGATTGACCCAACGGGGGTTCCTCTCTTCATCTTTTTTGTATCCTTCATAGTAGACCTATAGGATAGCATCCGTTTAGCCTCTGACTCGCACTCTCATATGCTATTACTGTGAGCTGGGTGCCCTGTGTCCTTACAGACTTGATTTAATGAGGATAGTCGTTGAGAAGACGGAAAAGAGTCTGAGAATACTGTCAGAATCAAACAACTCTGAGTATTGAGATGGCATTTGGCAAATTGCTCGATTATCAGAAGGTTACCAGAAGTCTGGCTACGATGAAGTACTTAAATACCTGGTTTTCCAACGCGAAAGGTACTCCAGCGCTATAACTTTAGCAACTCAAGTTCTCCTCTACTCTAGCTCCAGGAACAACATATCCTGTGCAGCTGATACCTTAGCCCACTTTTCCTTATCAAACTTCTTAGAGTAGACAAGTAAGAACGCCTCTTTGAAGCTAGAACTATGAGTGGATATTTGCAACCATCCATTGTCGACAAGATTGTAAGACTTTGGGTACCACTGCACAGGTCCTGGTAATTAGGCCCACTTTCCAAACTGCCTGCTCGTACAAACAGAAATATTTATGTGGTGGGATAACCTCGTGAAAAGTGCTATAATAAACAATTAGTATTGCCAGAAGATTGCTAGGATGATCAGAGACGTACCCTTCCTCTACATCAATCCACGGCATATACTCAAAGAGACGCTCAGGCTTCTTTCTCAGCTTTCCAGCCTTTCTCGTATATGAGTGGATACAGCTATCCCAGAAATGTTGCCACTTGCGGAAATTGGACTCTTCATGGGCCTATCAACTATTAGTATCACCAGAAGATTACCAGATTATGAGGTAGCATACATCAATGTGCGCTTGAGTTAAGAGAGCCTGGGTGCTAGTGATCTCTTCATCGGAAAGCTCATCTGGTAGAACAGCCTCGTCATTTAAAATATCTCGCGCTGTAACATAAGCTCCAACTCCAAATCGTCTTCAACCTCAGTATCCTCCCATTCGCTGTTATGATTGTCATCGATTGGAATACTTGAGATACCCTCAAATGCAGCAAGCTCAGACAGAAGTTGTTTGGGCGGAGTAGATGGTGGGGCTTGTGGAGAAGAAGAGGCGCTAATATTCTTGACTTTCTGATTCGCAATGCAAGATAGGGTACCCTTCTCAGTCCTGTTTATAGTTAGATTGAGGCTACCAGAGATTACCAGAAGGAACTTACCGAACACAAATACGCTCAACCTTCAATTCATTCTGTAGACGTGTCTTGTCTTCAGTAGAGGCAGCGATATACTTTGTGTAATGACACAGGGCACCCAGCTCACAGTAATAGCATATGAGAGTGCGAGTTGGAGGCTAAAAGGATGCTATCCTATAGGTCTACTACGAAGGATACAAAAAAGATGAAGGGGGAACCCCGTTAAGTTTGTTTCCTTAAGTACCCGAAACGGGCCCGACTCGGTTATCCCAACCCTAGCCCTGAACCTTCCACCGCAACAGGTCCGCATCGACCCTGAACCCTACACCCTTACTGTCCCCCACTATAGTGTAACTCGCTATGTCCTCCTCTACTGGTCCGAAACCACACCTAGTCGGATTTCATGCTTGTGGTGACCGTAACAGCTCTGAGGCGGGTTCTTCGAGTATCTAGGTAAGGAGGCATCCTTACACTTTGCAGACTTATATAACTTCTTTAAGTAGTAGCTCAGATCAGCATGGTCAGCCTTGAGTGCTAAGTGAACAGCCTTCTCATCTTCAGTAAGGTTGGAGACGCAGTTGCGAGCTTTGATAGTATTCACATTAGTGGAGAGTTCTTCATGTGCCTTGAGTTTCGCCATACTAACTAAACACGTGATTAGCAGAGATCTCCAGAAGTTCTGGCTATAGAATCAAGATAATAAACTTAGTTGAAGTCCTAGTGAAGAGGTAAAGGCTCAAAAGGGAAGAAGAATGTGTAGATCGGAGAGTAACCAAGGAAGGTGGTTCTAAGGTCGTGGTTATTTTAAAGTTGCAAACAAAAATATTTGTGAAGGAATATTCACCTACAAAGAATTACTGTTCCAAAAACAACACCACAATGCGCACCTTCATATAAAACACATACCTTTCAACCTCTACCTCTTTACTATACTCTTCTTCTGCAATATTCTTTCTACAAACTCACTGTAAGTACACATATCTTTTGATCTACTTCTTTATCTTGTGTTTACTTTACTAACTCACCTTGATATTAGCAAATGACTCGTACCAAGCAAACTGCTAGGAGATCAACTGGCGGCATAGCACCAAGGATGCCACTTGGATTACGGGCTGGCTCTGGGCTTGGCGGAAAGGGACAGGAAAAGGCTGTGGGCACAGCAAGAAAAGCTCCAGTTTGCTCATCTCAAGCTAGCAACAATCATGCTCAGAAGGCCACGCGCTGCACAAAGTCTAGTAAGAGGATTACCAGAGGATTACCAGAGGATTACCAGAACTCTCTAATAAACATATAGGCACCAAGGCTCTCCGCGATATCAGAAGACAGCAACTTGATACTAGCTCCCATTCCAGCGTCTTGTTAGGGAAATCACAGTAGACTTCAAGTCCAATCTTCGCTTCCAGCAATCTGCTATCCTAGCTCTTTAGGAAGCTGCTGAATGCTTCCTCATTCGAGAATTTGAGAGTATGATGTTTAAACATAGTGACAGGGACATACTAACAGTTATAGTGACAAACCTCCTCGCTATTCATGCGAAGAGAGTGACAATTCAGGCAAAGGGTATGATATTGGTTCGGCGTTTGCAGGATATGATGTTTAAGCTGTGGGCTTAATCGATGGAAATGTCTCTCACCCAGGAATGAAGGTCAGATGAGTTCTGGTAACCATCTGGTAACCTGGTACCTAAAGGCCAAAGGTTATAGTGTGGAATAGGACATCAACAATATGGGAATGGAGTTGGAGTTATGGCGTCTTGATCAATGAAGTCGCACCCCGTTTTTAACATAAGTAATGGCTAATCAAACACGTGATATAACTGAGTTGCCAAGACCCATACTAGGTACTCAGCAAGTGAGTAATCCTCATTCAACAATACTCGGGACATGAGCGAGTAACTCAGCTGGGTGAGTAAAAATTCTACTACTCGACTCGTGAGTACCCAGTGCGCAGCCTAACTACAGTACAGCCTCGTTAAGACGATTGATTCCGTGCAGCCAAAATATATCACAACGATGAGGGTATCGTATATATGAAGCTTATGTAATCCAACTATCTAATGTGCCTTGTGAATACCCGTTCCGCTTTAATTCCTCCAGTTGACCCTCAAAACGCTCAAATAACCTCAAATAAGAGGTCTGCATATCTTCTCTGCTTTCTGTGAACCCAATCAGAACTTGTAGAGCGTTGCTGGCAGCCTGCAGTGAGTATGTAGGCTGCTCAGCTTGGACTTCGTCTTCATCATCATCTTGGGCCTCATGAGAGCCGAGCTCATCCTGTATCACCTCTTGAAGAAGTCTATCTTCAAGCTCCTCCTGCGTCTTAGTCCCTCCTCCCGTTATGTCTTCCTCCTCTTGCTCCTCAATCGGATTGAGGAAGCTGTTTATGCTCATGACATCGTGTATTTGGCCAGATTGTATAACTTGTTCATATAATTGTTGAAGGCCAGAAGGCTCAAGCTGTACTGGAAGGTTGATTGAATTGACAAGAAGAGTCGATGTAATGGTGGTGTTACGACGGAACAAGAAGGCTGGCCAACTACAGGACAGGAAGGAGGGAGGTCGCATGAGACCGGCCCTGGTACCTGGAGGGGCAGCGGGGAATAGTAGTTCCGAAAGTATCACGTGACGGACTCGCAGGATGATGAGAAGAGTCCTAAGAGTCCAGGACTCCGAGGACTCGAGTGAGTTCCCAGGAGTCCACTAGGCACGTGACGGACTCGCAGGATGATGAGAAGAATCCTAAGAGTCCAGGACTCCGAGGACTCGAGTGAGTTCCCAAGAGTCCACTAGGCACGACGCCACTATATAAGTAGATAGTATTTCCTTAGATAGGAGCTTCGTGCTCAACTCAATACAGTATTTGTTATATACTAGTAACGTGTTACTTGAAGCCTTTGTGTCTGATCCCCTGCCTCCTCTGATAAGTAAACCTTTACGCAAGAGAACCTCTGTGCCTTCTATCGTTTAGAAGTCAGCGTTACACTTTGAGCACCACTTCTACGAGGTACCGGCTTACACACAAAGCAACATGTCTGTCGTCAGTTCGAAGGGGAAAACCCCCACCACGCCAACTTCGTCTCAGAGGTCTAAGCCTGAGAATGAAGAGATGCCCGACGCACCCACCGTCAACGAACTCAAGGAAACTCTACGCGTCAAGTTGCCCGACACTTACTCCGGCAACCGAAAGGAACTTGAGGTGTTTTTGCTACAGGTCGAACTGTACCAGCACTTCAATGACGAGAAGTTTCCCACCCAGGAGAGCTATGCCCTGTGGACTGCGTCCTACCTTAGGGGGGAAGCCCTGCGATGGATCGAACCATTCCTCAAGGATTATTTCAAATATGAGAGTACCAATGGAAGCATGGCAACTACGCAGACTATGTTTGGCAGCTGGAAAGGATTCTGTAAGGAAATCCGACGCATGTTCGGAGACATCGATGAGATCAAGACCGCGGAAGACCATCTGTTTGCACTTAAGCAGACTGGCAGCGCCCTCACGTACTCCACAGAATTCCAGAGATACGGCAATCAGACAGGATGGGACGCCAGCGCACTCATCAGCCACTACCGACGTGGGCTGAAGAGCCATATACGTATGGAACTTGCCCATTTGGAACAACAACCAACGGACATGGTAGCGCTAATCGAACATACGGTCCGAATCGACAATCGACTATACGAATTCCAGAAGGAACGTCGGACCTATGACAAGCCCAAGAAAAGTTACCCCTACCGGGGAAACGAGGGCAGACGACGGGATCAACACCCGCGAGACAACCGTTGGTCGGACCCAATGGAACTCGATGCCACGTTCAAACCTGGACGACCCCGTGACCCTAAGAAAGACAGACAATTCAAGGAACGACTCTGTTTTAACTGCGACAAGCCAGGCCACATGGCCCGAGACTGCAGACAGCCAAAGAAAGGGAACGGCGGACGCAAAGTCGGCAAACAACTCAATGCCACCTGGACAGGACAGTTGAACACAACGTTTGTGAGCAAACAGGACTGGGGAATAAACGGCGAAAGCACCCCAGAAGACGAGAGCTCAGATGAAGGGTCGGAGGCGGAATCGTTCACCGTCTCGGAACAGGAGACCTTCGATGAACTCGCACCTACGGAACCAATGAGTCCACGGTGCAAGAGCATAGTAAGACGCATGGCAAAACACGCCCACGTGAAGATTAGGGCCGAACGAGACAAGCCCAGCGGCCAGAGGAGAATCCCCACGCTTAAGGGCATCTACGGGAACCTGTTACAGGGACTTCCGTTAGAGTGCAAGGTGGACGACTGCAAGGATGACCTCTGGAGATACTACGACCAACTAACAAATACCCGCAGGCTGCTTGGCACATCCCCAGACGTAGCTAAGTTGGAAGCCCAAGAAGCGGAAGAACTGGAGAAGGATGTCGAGCATATGGCTAAACTGAAGAATATGAAAAGCGTCGAACTTTACTACCAGGACCGCAGGAGAACCCTGCAGAAGTACGACGAGAAAGCTAGAGGTATGCTGCGACGGGAAAATGCGAGACCCACTCCACGCATCGAAAGGAGAGCCATGGAGCAACTAGACACGTTCTCCACGCCTCCGAGGGAAGATAGTGCATGGGTGAGAGGACAGCGGGAACTATCAACGACAGACGCAACAGAGACTGATCATCCCTGGCACGCGTATGTCTACTGGGAGTATTGCAGCGAAGATGACTGCAAGCTCCACTGGAAAAAGAAACACCAGAATCAGTTGTTTCCCCGATCCTCGCCCAGGATACACTTCAGAGACGCAGAGCAAGTTCACGCCCTCAGGCGAAGCCAGTCTGAAGGGGACTTGCCTATCAAAAGCGAACAGGTATATGAGAAATACCCACATCTGCTAGACGAAGCAGAAGAGCGAGGGAAACGATCTCCCCAAGGACCACCATTGGAAGCGGATGAATACTATCCTTCCTCGGATGAGTCAAAAAACTAGGAGTCCTCGACGGTAGGCCACCGGCGAGTGACACGAAGAGGCCTAGTACAGACCAGCTATGCGCCACGACGGGCAGCATGCAACTATATGTGGTCGCTAAGATACAACAGCGACACCTCCGAGCAATGATTGACTCAGGAGCGACGGGCAACTTTATGACAAAGAAAGTAGCAGACATGCAAGGTTTCAAGACGCAATTGAAAACCGAACCATACCCGTTAATGGTCGTAGATGGAGAGCCCATCTCGACTAATGAAGGAATGGTGACCCACGAAACGGTCCCATTGGAAATGGTCATGCTACACGGGCACAAGGAAACGATTCAGTTTGACATCGTGCACATGGACAACCATGCGTGCATCCTTGGTGTGCCATGGCTCAAGAAACACAACCCCCAGATCGACTGGTGGAATGAGAAAGTTGTGATGAGCCAGTGCGCGTGTGAACAACGGACGGACACACGACAACGGGAGAAACCCTCCCAGGGCCGGAAGGAGTTATGTGCAACCTCCGAGCTCGATGACCTAGCCCAGGCATCCTCACCGACGAGTATACCGGTGGAGTACAAGGAATACGAGCAATTATTCCAGGAAGGCCCTAAGAACGAGGCGCTTCCTAAGCACCAACCATGGGATCATGAGATACCTTTGGAGAAAGACAAGAGTCCACCGTTCGGACCAATATATCAGCTATCGGAAAAGGAGCTGAAGGTACTTAAGGAGTACATTGATGATAACCTAGCGAAAGGATTCATCAGACCATCCACATCACCAGCAGGAAGTCCGGTGCTTTTCGTACCAAAGAAAGACGGCTCCCTACGGTTATGTGTGGACTATCGAGCGTTGAACAACATCACAATCAAGGACAGGTATGCCCTGCCGTTAATCAACGAACTACACGATAGATTTCAAGGAGCAAAGATCTTCAGTAAGCTAGATCTGCGAGGAGCATACAACCTGATCCGAATCAAGGCTGGGGAAGAGTGGAAAACAGCATTCCGCACCCGCTATGGCCTATTCGAGTATCAAGTCATGCCCTTTGGGCTAACAAACGCACCCGCATCCATGCAATGACTGATGAATGATGCTTTGCACGAATACTTAGACATCTTTACCATTGTCTACTTAGACGATGTCCTGGTGTATTCAGCAACCAAGGAGGAGCATGTCAAGCATGTCAAACTCGTCCTGAAGAAACTAAAGGAGTACAGCTTACTCCTCAAACCAGAGAAGTGCGAGTTCCATAAAAACCAAGTCGAATTCTTGGGTTACATTATTGGAACGCACGGCATCAAGATGGACCAAGCAAAAGTAACGGCAGTGTTGGAATGGCCAACACCGACCACGGTCAAGGAAGTGCAAGCCTTCCTAGGCTTCGCCAACTTCTATCGAAGATTCATCTCAGGATATTCCAAGGTAGCTCAACCACTCACGGAGCTTACCAGAAAGGATCTCGAATTCAAATGGACGGACAAGGCAGAGGCTGCTTTCCAGGAACTTAAGACGAAGTTCACGGAAGCACCTATCCTTGCTACATTTGACCCTGCAAAGAAGATCATCCTCGAAACGGACTCTTCTGACTTCGCAATTGGAGCATGTCTGAATCAACCAGACGAGAACGGTAAGTTCAAACCAATCGCGTACTACTCTAGGAAACTGTCACCCGCGGAACTCAATTACGACATCCACGACAAGGAGCTACTGGCTATTGTCGTTGCCTTTGAGCAGTGGCGAGTATATCTTGAGGGACCCACCTACCCTGTGCAGGTATGGACGGATCACAAGAACCTCATATACTTCACCACGACCAAGGTTTTAAACCGCAGACAAGTCCGCTGGGCAAAAACCCTCGCAGCCTACAACTTCACGATAACCTATCGCAAGGGCTCCGAGAATGCAAGAGCAGATGCTCTCAGCAGACGGACCGACTACATCGGCCCAAAGGAAGAAAGACCTAGAGCAATTCTGAAGAAAACAGATGCAGGAATACAGTACAACGAGTTACTAGCGACGATCTCAGTCATCGAAGATACAGAACTCGAGGAAAGACTCAAGAAAGCTTACGCAACAGACGAATGTGCCAAGCGAGTCTTGTCCAAAGTCGAAGGCGACTTCGCCATCGACGAACAAGGATTGATTCGATACAAAGGGTTAGTGTATGTCCCAAGTCAAATGAGACGCCCGCTGGTGCAAGAACAACACTCGTTACCAGCACACGGTCATCAGGGAGTAACACGAACCTTCGAACGAATCACTCGACACTACTACTTCCCAGGTATGAGGAAGCAGGTAGAGACAGTGGTAAGAGAGTGCGACATTTGCAGCAAGTCAAAATCCAATAGGCATCTGCCATACGGACAACTCAAGTCGACACCAGTACCAAAAGGAGCATGGAAATCAATAGCTTTGGACTTCATCGTCAAGCT